TCAGGGGGTTAAAAAACAGCCTGCAGAGGACTCAGGGTCGGTTCCCAACACTCACAGGGTAGCTAAAAACAGCTGGTAACTTAGGATCCAGGAGGTCTTCTGCCTACACCCACACTTTATAAACACAGTGCACTCGCGTGCAGACAAAATACTCAAACATAAAATTAAAACAAAAAATAAAAAACAGCATGGGGCTGTGAATGGTGGTGTACACCTAAAATCCCAGCACTTGAGAGACTGAGGCAGGAGGATCTAGAATTTACGACCAGCCCAGGCTACAGCATGGGAACCCAGAAGGAAGATATAATGATATATTTGATTTTCACTGAGCCAGCAAGAGAGCGCAGCCATCTGAATTCAATCACAGGAACCCACACAGTGGACAAGAATCAATGCCTGAAAACTGTCCTCTGACCATGCATCCTCTCTCTATTCATATATATAAATAAATACTTTTTAAAAAATACCAGAATAAACTCTTCAATGGCTTCACAGTGGAGTTATGCCCTACTATCAGGAAATTAGTACTATACAACAGTATTCACCAACCACATCTGACATTTGAAATGTGACCAAAATAACAAAGGACCAGACCTTTTTCTTTTTCTTAACTTTAACTGACTAAATTTCAATTTTTTTTTTTTTTTTTTTTTTGGTTTTTCGAGACAGGGTTTCTCTGTGTAGCTTTGCGCCTTTCCTGGAACTCACTTGGTAGCCCAGGCTGGCCTCGAACTCACAGAGATCCGCCTGGCTCTGCCTCCCGAGTGCTGGGATTAAAGGCGTGCGCCACCACCGCCCGGCCTAAATTTCAATTTTTAAGATGGAATACTTAATAAACTAGTGTGGTGGCACAAGTCTGAGATCCCAACACTGAAGAAGTGGGGATAAGAGAGCAAAAGTTCAAAGTCATCTTTTAGCAAGGTCCAGGTCGGCACGGGCTATACAAAACTCTGTACCAAATATAAACAAACTTAAAATAAATGAAATGCATGCCTGATTAACTTTAGAAAATGAGCCAGGGTGTAGCTCGGTGGCAGAGAGCATGATCTGCAGGTAAAAGGTCTGGGCTCAATCCCCAGGACCAAAACACAAAAACCAAGAAGACCAGAGACTGCAAAGTTCCAGGCCGGCCTGTACTACAGAGCAGACTCTGTCTCAACAAACGAACGTTAGAAAACAGTGGTGAAACAACTCCATGAACTGACGTTTTCAACTACAATGTTTATGAAGTCTAACACAGGTCAAATACCTCCAGAAAGAATTTTGGACCAAATTGAGATACCGCTGTAAGTACGAAAAGCATATTCAATATAAAATATTGTAATTTTTTTATATTGAGTAAATGTGAAAAATTATTTTTTTTAGCTGGAGTTAAATAAATTATTAAAGCTAACTTCACCTTTCCAATTTAAAATTACATATGTAGCTTGCATCACACTTCAAGTACTAGTCTGCAAAAATACAAATTCACTAAATGGACATGTTGGGAAGATTTTACAACCATGTTCATTCTATGAGATACTTACTTTCAATTGGAAATACCTGTGTTAACACTAAAAACCAATCCTATTTACACGTGAAAGTACATACAATCGGGGAGGGAGTTATATGGGAGGAAAAGTCATATTCCTAGAGTATTTCACACAAAAAAGCATAGAAACCATACAGAACCAAATTAAAACTTTCAACAGATATAGAGAACTGTGAAGCCAGCATGTAACACTACGGGATCAGCAGGACATAGCTAATGCCCCAGATAACTTCTCAGAGGGCTTTAACTACTTAAGATCTGAACAGACTACATGACCTACTATTTTAGAGAAGAGTGTTTCATAAAAAAATTTTTTTAAAAGGCATACATTAACAAAAGACATTAAAACTCTCATTTACATAAAAGGTGAAAAAAATAAACCTCAAAGAACTTATGGAAATACAGAACAAATAATGAGACAAATTTAATAGTTTTTCCTTCCTTCGTTTGTCCAGCTGGGTCTTGCTGCAAAGCCCAGACTGCCCTCCAACTGAGAATCCTCCTGCCTTAGCCTCCATAATGCTAGCTACAGACAGGAAGCAGCAGTCCCTTTATCTATGGAAACGTGTAATGAAGACGACTCGTGAGTTGCAGAAAACACTAACAGCTTGAACAGAGGGATGACAGTACTGATGAATACTATTTTCCAATCAATGGAAGTTACTCCAGCAGGAGGAGGGGGTCTGTTTATTGCCATGGAATACAAAGGTTTGTTTGTTTGTTATGGGACAAACAGAGCAAAAGAAGCATATTTTGATGGGATTATTACTTATTTACTTCTTCTTGTTTTATCCACATTTGTATTTTGGTCAAATCATATTTAAGGGATTTTCTCAGCAGTCTTCAGTCATTAAGGCTTAGAGGAAAATGAATAACTCCTGTCCCTTTAAAAGGTAACCTAGCAACTTGCTGAGGGGATTAGAGCACAAGGACCCTTGGGAAGACAGGAACATTCAAATCCCAGAAGTAAGTCTATAGTTCTCTCTGAAATCGCTTATTATGAGGTCATTTAAAAATAGAGCAGCCCCTATTCAGCAAGTGGAATAAGCAGCCTAAGTTTTGAATGCCTGTTATGTACCAGGCATTAAACAATCTCATTTGATCCTATGATGCCGGCCAGACAGAGACTGTCCCCATTTAACTATCAGTGAACCTGGAGAAGAGACTTGAAGTGATCTGTCCAAGATGCACTACTTCATAGCCAAGCTGAGACATGAACTAATGACCAAGAACACAAGTATGGACTCTCCACTCCCCCTGACAGTGCTGATCCACATCATCATAAGCTCTGGCGGCAGCTACAGCTTAACCGTGGGACTCAGAGCTCAATCCGTCCACACCTCAAAGGCATAGAAACGGCCAAGTTAATCCTAAAATTAGGTGGAAGTGCAAAGAAACTTGAACAACCAAAACAATCCTGAAGAAGAACAAAGAATTTAGTCCCCCATTTCAAAACTTAACACAAGCTGAGGGTGGCTGTGCATGCAGTTCCAGCACTCAGAGGCAGAGGCAGGACCGGGAGAGAGCTCAGCAATGAAGAGCACTTGCTGATCAGCACAGCACCCAGATCCAGTTCCCAGCATGCACTCAGTGGCTCACAACTGTCTTTAAATCCAGTTCTAGGGGCTCCATCTCTCTTCGGACTTTTAGGGGCACTGCACACACATGGAGTGCATACAGACATGCAGGAAAAACACTAAGACATAAAATAAAAATAAATCAATTTTTAAAGACTAATTAAGTGCCGAGTGGTAGTGACACACGCCTTTAATCCCAGTACTCAGGAGGCAGAGGCAGGTGGATCTCTGAGTTGGAGGCCGGTCTGGTCTACAAATTGAGTTCCAGGACAGCCAGGGCTACACAGAAAAACCCTGTCTCAACAAAACAAAACAACAACAACAAAAAAGAATAATTAAGTGTCTAGACCAATGCCATATTAAGAGTACAGAAACAAATTGATAAATGGATAGTGAAGAGATTTTTGACAATAGTGCCATTCAATAGGAAAAGAACAATCTCTTAAACTAATTGTGCTAGGACAACTATATGTCAACACATAAAAGAATGGTGGTAGACTCTACCTAACACTATAAAAAACAAATTCAAGATGGATCAAAGACTACTCAGCTCTAAACATAAAACCTTAACCATAAATCACATAGAAAAATTCAATTTTGGTTAGGTTGTGGCTTCTCAAACACAATTATTAAAGGCATAAAAAACAAAAAATAGATAAGTCAGATGCCACCAACACTAAAAACCTGCTACTGAGGAAAAAATTAACTCAGCCTGCAAAGCCTGCAAAAATAACCTATAAAATAGGGGAAAATTAACACCACACATCTGATACGCTTGCACAACACAGTAATAACAAAGCTCAATTTGTAAAATAGGGGAAAAGTCTTGAACAGATATTTCTTCAAAGAAATACAAATAGCAAAATACACATGTAAAGATTTCCAGTGCTGTTAGGCATTAAGGAAATGAAAATCAAAACCATAATGAGGAACCACTTCACAGTCTCCAGATGACTCTAAACTATAAAACAAAATGTCTAGCAGCTGATGAATGGATAAATAAAATGTGGTATATCCATTCAATGGAATATTATCCAGCTAGAATGAGAAGGACAACATGAATGGACTGTGAAAACATGCTACATGAAAGAAATCAGACACAAAGGCCACGTATGGTGTGATTCCATTAGTGGTTCTCAACCTTCCTAATGCTGTGACCCTTTAATACAGTTCCTCATGTTGTGGTGACCCCTTTAATCCTAGCACTCAGGCAGGAGGCAGAGCCAGGCAGATCTCTGTGAGTTCAAGGCCAGCCTGGTCTACAGAGCAAGTTCCAGGACAGGCTACAAAACTACACAGAGAAACCCTGTCTCAAAAAACAAAAAACCAAACAAACAAAATTTTTTTTTTGTTGCTACTTCATAACTGTAATTTTGTTATGTTATGATTGGTAATTGTAAATACTTTCGGAGACAGAGGTTGCCTAAGGGGTCTCAAGCCACACGTTAAGAAGCACTGATTTATATGGAATATACGGAATGGGAAAATCCACAGAAACAGAGTGATTAGTAGTTGCAAGGTTCTGTGGTATAGAGGAAGACAGAAGGGCTGCTTGAATGCATAGAGGGTTTACTTTGTGGATGAAGATGTCCTCAAACTAGACACTTGTGATAAATGTGAATGAATAAATGCCAATTAATTCTACAATCTAAAATAGTCGAAATGGTAAGTTCTGGTATGTGCAAATAACTACAATTTGAAAAATAAACATACACGTAATTTTGAGAAACTTAGGAAACAATTTAAGAAACTATGAATAACATTTCAAGTAACACAACCCAATGCATGTTCTCACAGCCAAGGCCCCTCCCTGTCTGTATGACAAACTAACTTTTTCTAAAGTGTCCAGGGTCATGCTCAGATCTTCCCTCTATGGGAGAGGTTACACCTACCTCCAATTACTCGAATATTGTTGTCCTTTGTCAAAATAGCCTCAGCATGAAAAACCAAAACTGGAATCCTCCTGCAGCCTCCAGTCCACATGATACATGGGTGATCCCTACAGGCATAATAAGATGCTTCATTAATTCACAGCTCAAAATGTGAACTAACAGCTGAAGTAGATGACTATGGTTGTCCCTACCCAGTACTTGTAACTAAACAGAACTGTCACAGTATCTCACTTAAGCCTCTTGCCCCACTATGAGCAGAAGCAGCAGGGTCTCAGTTACTTGCCTGAGGTCATACAACTGTCAAGTGTAAGAGGAGAGAATTAGATGACTGCCTCCTTCCAGTGCCTTGCTACAAAACCACATTCAGTAAAGTTCTGTAGTGTGAGCACGTTAACTCCTTCAGAGTGTAAGCGAATCCATTTCTTAAATGGAGTAAAATCCACTTCATAAGACTCACTCTCTGAAAAAACTCACATGATCACAAAAGATCAGAGTGCAGGGGCAGCCTATAGCCTCCCAATCCAAACTTACACCAGCCACAGCCTGGCCGGGACACCAGTCTCAGAACCTGGGCAGCCTTGGGTCTTGCCTTGAGCTGCTAGCTTTACAGTGAAGAAAGCAGACACTTTATCGAGTTCATCCCCCATTTGCTAGTGACAGGACAGGACTCGGATGCTTGCTGTTCTTGAGGATGGAAGTAGATGAAGGTGTGATCTCAGTCAGCTTTCTAGTGCTGTGATAAAACACAATGACCAAAAGACCAAAAAACGACTGGGGGCGGGGGGGGGGGGGGGGGGGGGGGGGGTCCTTCCAGTTCACATGTCCTGACAACAGTCCATCTCCAAGGGGAGCCAAGGCGGAAACTCAAGCAGGGCAGGAACCTGAGGCAGGAACTGAAGTCTACCCGCATAGGAGTGCTGCTCACTGGCTTACTACTCCTGGCTTGCTCAGTCTGCTCTCTTATACAACCCAGGACCACCTAGGGTGGACACTTCTACATCAATCATTAACCAAAAAAATGCCCCCATACACTTGCCTACAGACCAATCTCATAGAGGCATTTTCTCAGTTGAAGTTCCCTCTTCCTAGATGATCTGAACTTACATCAAGTTGAAAAACAAACCTAACCAACACACATCCATTTGAGAGAAACGGCATTTACAGAGTCAATTTTTTTTTTTTTTTTTTTTTTAAGCAAGATGGATGTTTTGTTTGCTTTTGTTTTGCTTTTCAAGACAGAGTCTCTCTGTATAACAGCCCTGGCTGTCCTGGAACTTGCTCTGTAGACCAGGCTGGCCTCGAACTTACAGAGCTCCACCTACCTCTGCCTCCAGAGTGCTGGGATTAAAGGCATGCACCACCATTGCCTAGGGCAAGATGGATTTTGTGTATGTAGTTTGCTTGCTTTTGATCTTAAACACATGTAAAATGCAGGCATGGGCCCAGACAATTTCTCTTCTGTGCAAATAAAGTTCTACACTACATTTCCTTCTGTGTCAGGAGACACAGGAAAAATAGGCAGAGTCTGGAAAGTGGAAGTCCTTGACAGTCTGGCACTAGCTACAGACTGGTACCACTGTGCCTTCCCATTTACAAACAATAGATTACATGCAGTTATGAATGCCCGACAAGACTCGGCACCACAATGAACAGATCCACAGCTGCCAAGGCCAAGGCCAAGGCCCTGGCTGTGAAAGGCAAATCCCTGACAGAGACTGTCCACTCACAGCCAATGAAAAGACAAAAAGAAAGAAGAAATTACTGAGGCAACTATTAGTAAAGTAACCTAAAAAGCACTTCAAGTAGATGTCATTAAAAGCCATGTTCCCTGACAGAGGTCAATGTCAATAAAAAAATAAACACTTTCTCCTAAAGCAAAACAAAAACTGTGACACTCGCACCAGATAGTGCTAAAGGGAAAAATTTCAAAATGATTTGGAAACTGAGAATTAGAAATTTAAATCATTAATCCATTTATACCTGAAACTGGCATACATTAAGAAATCTGCTTTGTTAGGTATGAAAGAACAAAGTATTGGATGCTTATCTATTTTCATCTTATGTGTATGAATGTTTGCCAGCATGTATGTATATGCACCACATGTGTGCCTGGTGTCTTTGGAAGTCAGAAGGTGGCGTGGGACTACCTAGGACTGGAGTTACAGAAGGTTGTAAGCTATTGCCTGGGTGCTGGGAAGTGAACCCAGGTCCTCTCAAAGAGCAGCCAAAGTGGTTACCTGCGAGCCATCTCCCCAGGCCCGTAACAAAGCTTGTGAACGATCCTCACTGAGACAAACCAACTGTATGGTTGACCTGATGAGATCCTAAGAACATGCTCGCTCCTGGGAGGCAGCCTACGGAACTCACATGCTCGCTCCTGGGAGGCAGCCTACGGAACTCACATGCTCACTCCTGGGAGGCAGCCTACGGAACTCACATGCCCGCTCCTGGGAGGCGGCCTACAGAACTCACATGCTCGCTCCTGGGAGGCAGCCTACAGAACTCAAAGACAGATGCGAAGCAGCTGCAGCAGCTTGCTGCTGTCTTCCTCACACCAGCGCCCCCATTAAAATGCCTTCCCTTGCTGCTGGCCTTTAAACTTACACAATGTCACCTTACAGAATAGAAATTAAGATTACTAACGTTTTCTCAGTGACTAAAGAAGCCTTACATCAACTTCTTACATGGAAGTTGCCACAGCTACATATAAATTTGTGTTTGGGGTGCCCAAGCTACAGAAGAGTTTCTATATATTTGTTATCTGAAATAATGCGATGTAAAACAAGGACAGTGTCATTAGTTAGCTTCAGTCGTCGACATCACATACCTAGACAAAGGAATCTCAATTTTGGAACTGAGGCCAACAGTGGTAGCTGTCTGGTGCTCCTAAGCTTGAGTCCAGGACTACAAGGGTTAATGCTTTAATAAAGCCCGAGGATCTGATCAGCTTTAACAGCTGTCAGTGGACATGCAACAACTCAGTGTCTTTAGATGGTGGAAGCCCTTCTAATTTCTAAAACTTCTCAACTGTAAGCCTACCGCTCTAGGTGTGAAGAAAATGATTTTAAGCTGCTGTACTGGTTGGTTTTTGTCAACCTGACACAAGCCTAGACATGTCTAGGAAGAAGCAAGCACAGGTGAGAAAATGACTCCATTGGAATGGCCTGTAGGCAAGCTTCTGGGACATCTTCTGAACTAGTGACTGGTGGAGGAAGGCCCAGCCCACCGCAGGCACTACCACCCCGGGCAAGTGGTCCTGGGCTGTGGGATGGTCTGTATGTCAAATGTGTTGCTGATTGGTCAATAAATAAATCACTGATTGGCCCGTGGCCAGGCAGGAAGTATAGGCGGGACAAGGAGGAGAATAGAGCTGGGAAGTGGAAGGCAGAGGGAGACAGTGCCAGCCACCATGATGAGAAACAGCATGTGAAGATGCCCGTAAGCCACAAGCCATGTGGCAAGGTATAGATTAATGGAAATGGATTAATTTAAGATATAAGAACAGTTAGCAAAAAGCCTGCCACGGCCATACAGTTTGTAACCAATATAAGTCTCTGTGTTTACTTGGTTGGGTCTGAGCTGCTGTGGGACTGGCAGGTGAGAGAGATTTGTCCTGACTGTGGGCCAGGCAGGAAAACTCAAGCTACAGTCCTGGGCTGCGTAAGAAAGCAGGATGAACAAACCGTGGGTGACAAGGACAATGAGCAGTGCTCCTCCATGGCTTCTGCTTCAGTTCTTGCCTGTAGGTTCCTGCCTTGGGTTCCTGCCCTGACTTCCCTTCATGACAGACTGTGATCTAGACATAGAAGCTGAAATAAACCCGTCCTCCGCATACTGCTTTTGGTCATGGTGTTTTATCACAGCATCAGACACCCTGAGTCAGCGTGCCAGGGTGTAAAGCAAGTATCTGATAAACCAGGACATTAGCTGATAAAACAGGAGTAACCACAAAAAATAATAGGAGTCTGCAAAAACTCCATGGATTTAGATGAAAGTTGGGAAGGAAACAGCCTGGATTTTCCATAAAACCTACTAGATATTTAGCATTTCTCAATTATGAATATAAACCAACACAGTTGTATTGGATTTTTCATGCTCACTATCTAAGCCCACTAATGAGATGAGATTTAAAAAACAAACAAACAAAAAAAAAACCAGAGTAAAAGAACAATTTTGGCTGGCATTTAAAATATTTTAAAATGAGTGAAAGACAGTACACTGAGATTAAAATGGCACATGAAGGCAGAGGGAATTACCCATTTAATTAGCCAAAAGAGAGTGACCCACATACACGGTCAAATCATTATATATTTGCTATGAACGATTATTATTATGATGACGATAAGGCTTTGCTCAAAACTTAATACTTCAACTATTTTTCAAATAATATCAATATAGTATTCTACCTTATAAAGTCTACCATGAATGCAGTAACCAATGCCTTATATTTATATGGTACTTCACAACTTTATCAAGTAAGTTCACACATAGTATTCTATTTGAGCCTAAACACATCCCTTCAAAATAGCCTGGGAGTTATTCCAATTATAGAGTACATATTCTAAAGGACTTAGAAACACATATTAAGCTAAGGGTGGTGACTCATTCATGCCTATAATCCCAACCACTCAGGAAGCTGAGGCAGGAGGATTGCTATGCGTTTCAGGCCAGCCTGGGTTACCTAGTGAGTTCCAGGCTACCCTGACCTCCAGATTGTATTTATGTATTTATTTGTTTATAAATATATATACATACATTTGTGTGTATAGACATTTATAAAAGGATAATAAAGAAAAAAAAGACATGAATTTGGAGAGGCCGAGTGGAGGGAGAGGGAGAAATGATTAAATACAGGATACATGTATGAAAGCTTAAATATATATAAATAAATAAGATAAGCTATTTTAACATTAAGTCAGCTTTTCTCTTTTGTGTCAAGTAAAAATATGCGAAGCAAAACTCTTCAAAATCCAGGAAGGCTGAGCTCAGCCCGAATCCCATCTCTTCTCTGTAAGGGTTCTTGAAGGTTTTTTGATATTTGTAAGAATGAGTTTAACGGAGTGGAAGTAACATCTTCAAATTAAAATCTTTCAATCTCTACATTAAATGAGCTACTCTACCATCTCTGGGAGCTGCACTTGGCACTGTTAATCATTTTCATTATGAGGATCCAGCAATTAAGAAAGCTGACTCATGCCGGGCTGTGGTGGTGAATTTCTGTGAGTTCAAGGCCAGTCTGGTCTACAAAGTGAGTTCCAGGACAGTCAGGACTACACAGAGAAACCCTATCTAGAAAAACAAACAAACAAACAAACAAAGACAGTTGACTCTTAACCTAAAAAACTCAAGAAAGCACTGTGGTTCCGTGAGCACACCACAGGCTGCAGATCTCTAATATCCTCACAGGAGTTGCTACAGACCTTTTATATTATCACTGTTCTATAGCTGTAAAAGCTTTTGAGAAAACTAGTATAGTCAAGGTCAGAGTGTAGGAAAATAAGTTTTCATCAGTCTCTAAAACTTTCAAAATCTAACATTTCAACTGATTAGAAGCCACGGTCAAGAGTTAACCTGATACGAGGCTGGCAAGATGGCCGAGCAGATAAAGACGCTTGTCACCGAACTTGACCCGAGTTCAAGTCCCAGAACCACATGGTGGAAGGGCAGAACAGACTCCAGCAAGTTGTCCTCTGACCTCCACTGCACTGCAGCATGTGCAGCATGTGTGCCTCACCCCCACCCCCCACCCCCCACCCCCACCCCCACACACTAAAATAAATAAATGTGAAAAAAAATAAATTTAAGTCTTCACACGATGGGGCCAAGGGAGACGTCCGACAGATCAAAGTACTTGTTGGTAAGCCTGATGGCCTGAGCTCAATGCCCAAAACCCACAAAAAGAGGAAAAAAGACAAAGAGTCAGATGCAGGGATGGGAATGATGGCTCTAGAGTCAAGAGAGCTATCTGCTCCTGCAGAGGACCGAGGTTTGCTCCCAGCACTCGTCAAGCAGCTCCAGGGGGTCCCACGCTCTCTGGCCTCCCCAGGAACCTGCACGCCCATAATGCACACGAACTCAAGCAGGCACATGCAAGTTTTTTAAAAATATGTACATTTTTTTTTTTAAGCCAGATGTAGTGGGAACACAGCAACAGGAATGAGACCCTACCTCCCAAACCAAGTGGGGGGAGAAAAAACAAAAACAAGTTCACCCGAGCTCTACCCGAACTTCACAACATCTAAAGCTGACATGCACTCACAAGCCTGGAAACACACAGCCCAGCCTTCGCATTTCTGGCAGCTGATGAGAAGTGAATATAGGATACTGACTTCAGTCACAGATGGACACCACCTAAGCGGGGGATACTGGACAGGAGTGAAGGAAACTGTTTGCCGCCCTAAAGGCTTGCTGCCACTCACTCTTGGTTCACCAGGTCCTCATCCTCTGAGGATGATGCTGTTTCCTCCAGGTCCCGGGCCATCACAACTGGCATTTCCTTTAGGGTTTGTCATACAGTCAACAGACAGAGGCCTCAGAGACCTTTCTTCCTTGCAGTTTCACTGGATCAGACAATTTGGATGGCACAGACTCCTGCAAGAAAGTCAAAGGGTTTCATATACAATGCAGTTGGGCACTTCAGGATTCTGTGCATAAAATGAATGAAAAGGAAGACATATCCCTAACTATTGGTCAACCTCTAGAAGCTCTCTTCTGTCACAGCTGTCACAGTGTACCTCAATACGCCACAAAAATCAAAAAGTCTTTTTTTTTTTTTTTTTTTTTTTGCTTTTTGAGACACGGTTTCTCTGTGTAGCCCCAGCTATCCTGGAAGATATGGATAGAGACCAGGATGGCCTCAAACTCTGAGAGGTACCTGCCTTTGCCTCCTGAGTGCTGGGATTAAAAGCATGCACCACCATGCCCAGCTTAAGATTTTTTTTCAAGCATAGTGTCTCTGCTGTATCTAAAAAGCTGTTACTAAATTTGAGTTCCTTTTCTTATATAGTAAACGTAGCAAGCACCAAAAGAGATCTCTCTGACATGGATGGCTGATTGCCTTAAACTTAGACAATTCTTTGCTAGACAAATCTGACCAAGATCAAAATAAAAATTCAAGGTTCAAAACACTTGTGAATATTTATACAGACTCTACCATAAGCATTCAGACATGATGCTATATTTCTAGGAAAACCCAATCAACTTAACTTTTAATAAAAGGATAATGAAAATGTTTCCTCTCAACAGGGATGACATAAATAGCTGGGAGGTGGGGAGTCAAACACTCCTAATAATTACTGTTACAAAAAAATAAAAATAAATAAAAAATAAATCACACATTTTAATCCGAATCTAAAGCAGATGCTAAAATTAGGAAATTTCCAACTCCACATTTCTAACTTCAAACTTTTTCTATGGAGGAAAAGTTCACGTTCGTTGTAGTAGAAGAAATGGAAACACATGGGAAAACGCTCGTTACTCAAAGCTAATCGATTTGGGGCAATTTTCCAAACTTTTCTTGTCTATGCACTTTCATATACGGTAAGACTCTGTAGACGAACTCTATAATAGAAGCAAGAGCAACTAACCCCGACTTTACTCATCTTCAACAGCAATGAGTAGTATCTAACAACCTCAATGATTCCCTTCGGGTGATTCCTAAGGGAATTTCTCCGTCTTTCCCAAAATGTTTGAGAGTCTCTTAAGTTAAACGAAAACCTCCAAGCAGGAAGGATGCCCACCTTTCCTTGGCTCCCTGATGAGCAAGCAGGACGAGACCCGGTGCTCTGACGATTAAGAGACACTATGCCAAAGGAAGTCCTTGCCCCTACAGGGATGTGCCACCGGCTCCACCCCAGCTCACCCCAACCCTAGGCAGCTCTGCAGGTGCTACGCCGGCAGGGAGCCGGCGACTGTGCCGCAGCGCTTCTGCCCAGCGCGCCCGGAAGCCAACAGCTGCTCCGGGGCTCGGAGGGAAGCGCAGCGGCGCCCGCCCAGCCTTGGAGCGCACCTCCCCGGAGCGCGCCCCGCAGGCGTTTACCTGTCTCATCTTCTCAAGGCTGGGGACGGGCAGGCGGGGACCACGGTCTGCTTCACCTTCCTCCTCCTTCCCCGGCCAGAATCAACGCAGCCGCCGAAGGTTGCTTCCCCCGTTACTACAACAACCAACAAGCAACCGCCCGCTCGGAGCCACTGCGCAGGCGCCTGCCAGCGGCGCGAACAACGCTCAGCTGCGGGCGCAGACGAATGGCGTCACCGCGGCGCGCCCAAGCGCCGGCGCAGAGCCAGGCTGTTGCCAGAAGGATTCCTTGGCTCCTTTTCTTTCCGCGTTTCCCCCACCCCGAAAAGGCTGACTCCAAACCCAGAGTTCCGCCACGCTCGACAGAAGGGTTCACCGCGTGAGCGGCGCAGCGGGGAGAGGCTTAGGCGGCGGCAACCGCTGATTGGCAGCAAAGGGGTTCACTCCCTATCGCCTGCTCGAACTGAACAAGCCCAGCCAATCGGAGCGAGGACTAGCAGGAACGACCCAATCCTAGAGCTGGGCTGAGGGCGGGGGCGGGGACAGTGGCCCAGGTGGACTTGGGACTGGAGCTGTCCTGGGGGAGCTGGTTTGTGGATGCTGCTGATACTCTGGCTGCAGTAGTACTGAGTGGTCGTCAGGTAGGAGAATTTAGAGTGGGATGTAGGTACTCATGTTGCATACGAATGAGGCTATGTGCAGGATTTAGGAAAATGGGGATTGCTTGGGAAGCTACCCTTTTTTTGGGGTGGGTGGAGGGAATCAAGAAACGATGTCCAAGGGGGTGCTAGGAAAATGGAGGGGGTTTGGTAAATTCTGGGGACAGATGAATGAACGAGCAGTCACTGTGAACCTAGCTCTGTGCAAGGAGCTTTCTCTTTTTCTCATGTAATTCTCCGGTAACCCTTAAGATATAGATGTTTTTACGGATGAGGAAATGGAGTCTCAATGACTTACCTGAGACTCTAGACCTGAGTGGTGGAGCCCCTCTTTATTGATTGCTAGTTAGCATTGCATCAGCGCTGAACTGGGCCTGGACAAAATTTGGTTATTGATGTTGTAAACCCCGCCCTTCCCACCACCTCAAAACTCCAGAGAAATGGTTTTGAGGAATTGGTACAGCAATACAAAAATACTCCGGTTGTGTCTTCGTCAGCGCTCTGCTGAGATTTCTAAGACCTGAAAGATGGAAGAAGGCATAAGTTCTGCGTTCTATTGAAAGGAAGTATGTGTGTGTGCAACTTTTTTAACTAACTCAAATTGAGCCTGGTGTTGTAGAGGAGAAAATAAAGAGAAGTGGATCTTGGTCTGGGTTGTGAGTGCCTGTGAAGTATTTAGACTGGGACAGTCTGTGCTTGGGGCCTCTTGTTTCTGCTGGACTCACCCTTCCTCTTCTGAAGCCCCTTTTAGTTGAATATTAGTCCCTTCACTTTAATATCTGTGCTGGATGGTATGGAATCCTACTGAGACGTATTACCACAGTGATGAAGGCAGCCTGATAGTTTCTTACAACTTTCAGGCCAAAGAAGTTAGCCTTGGCCACAGATAAATGAAGGGCCGAAATGATGGGAATGATCATGATAAACGACCTCCGTGGGATCCACTTAGATCAAACTAATGGAAACCGCTACTCATCAAGGCTTGATCTAAACAAAAAGTATAGAGACTAACTCTTCTAACCATCTGAAGACAGAAATGTTTCTGGCGTGTTTAGCTTTCTCAAAAACTGGGAACTTTGCTGCGCATGGTGGCGCACGCCTTGGGTCCCAGCACTCAGGAGGAAGAGGCAGATGGATCTCTGTGAGTTCCAGGCCAGCCTGTTCTATGTAATGAGTTCCAGACCAGCCAGGGCTATATAGTAAAACCCTGTCTCAAAACAAGGAAATAAATATATATTTTTTTTAAGATGGGAACTTCATCCAAATAGTCCTTAAGGAGGTAGTATTTCCACAGAGTCCAACAGGCCATGGCATTCTGCCATGTATTAGCTATGTAATCTAAGCAAATCACTTAGCTATTTGTTCTGATCTCCATCTGTAAAATGGAAATACTGGTAGTGCCTGCCTATCCTGATGTAGGGAGTCAGTGAAATACGATGTCAGATACGTGGGGCAAGTATAGGGCACAAGTGCCCCGTAACTGCTAATTAGTATAGTTTTTCCTGCAACCCAACACCAAGCCATTGGAGTTTTTTAAAAAATATTTTAGATTGTGTTAGTTTATGAGACATGATGTATCTGGGAACCACACAGAGGCAAACTGAGAATACCAGTTGGGTCATCATACCATAGCTTCTACTCAAATGGACAGTATAGCTTCTGTAAGTTTAGAAGGATGCGTCATCAGTATCCAGGTATCTGAGTAGACTTAGAACCACCTGTGAGCCACTTGTATTGCAAAAGGAATGGTGTGAAGAGATGAAGGCATAGCGCTGATTCCAGACAAGGGGAGGGGAGTGTGACTTACAGCAGTACTGTGCTTTGGGGGATTACTTGAACAAAGGTAAATGCTGTGTAACCTGCTGCAAGGTGTACTGTTCATTCACCCTCGTTAGAGTGAGCATTGGCAGAACACAGGCTTTACCTAGAAACCCGTTCTATTACTTTATAGAGATATTAGTACACCCCATGTCTTCTGTTCCCCTTCTTGCCATTTCCTTCCTGCTAGAATGTCTACCCATTGCATTCTTGTTTAGCCTCTGTCACTCTGAACAAAGATCGGCATAGCTCTGCTGAGGGGAAATATTCTAGGCATCTTTTGAAGTAAAAGTGGTATGGCACGAAAACAGGGTGGGCCCAAAGGACTTGGAGAGGAGTCTGTGGAGTGCTCTGCCGGTATCACTCAGGACAGCTCTCACGAGTGGGACACAGATTAACCACAGAGGTGAGAGAGCTTGTGATTGACGAGGAAGTACCCTTGATTATGCCCCTCTTTGTTTCCAAGGCCGAGCACCCTCTCTTTGAGGGGAATCATGAGCCGCTTCCTGAACGTGTTACGAAGCTGGCTGGTTATGGTGTCCATCATAGCCATGGGAAACACGCTCCAGAGCTTCCGAGACCACACCCTTTCTCTATGAAAAGCTCTACACTGGCAAGCCAAACCTTGGTAAGAAGTCAAAAGAACTGGCTGAGCACCGTAGCTCATGCCTGTAATCCCAGCACACAGGAGGATAGGGCAAGAAGATTGAGAGATCAAAACCAGACCGGATAACTTGGTGAGATCCTATGTCAAAAAATAAATTTACTGCTGGGCATGGTGGTGATTGCCTTTAATCTCAGCACTCAGGAGGCAGAAGCAGGTGGATCTTTGTGAGTTCGAGGCCAGCCTGGTCTACAAAGTGAGTTCCAGGACAGCCAGGGCTATTACACAGAGCCTGTGTAAACCCTGTCTCACAACGCCCCCACCAACCCCAAAAATAATTAATTAATTAAAATAACAAAAAGAAAAGAATGTAAAGAAGTATATTCTGTATAGCACTGGCCTAGCTGTTAATTACCCAGTTGAGCTACATATCTGAACAACCCAGGCTACTTAAAGGCCTATCAAAGCACAGGTACTTCTTTCTGTCTCCAAATCTAATTATTAAACCTGGCTGGCAATCCGGTTCTAGACATATGCAGGTGGTTCTGCTGCCTAATCCAGTCTTGGTAGCCACTGGAGTAATAGAATGTGTGGGAAGCACTGGACCCTTTTTTCCCAGTTATCTCTGGATACCTCTCCATTCATTTGCCACTACCCTGGACAATTGATGTGTTCAGAAGCACATGCATAAAGACAAGCAAGGAAATAGGATGACATGTTGACTCTGGGCTTTCTACTAGAAAGCCATAAAGGGGTGTTTTACGGAATCTCAGTGCCCTCGTCGGAAATCAGGGCATGGCACACATGGTTCATAGTCTATGTAACAGGTAGACAGTTCCCCACCCAAGATCTTCCTGAACTGAGCTGTGGTCCCTGAGTGAATACTCCAAATCCCTCCAAATTTCTCTCTCCAAGTAAAACTTCTGGCTCACAGCGACCTTTCCCAACCCCCGAAACTCTCCATTGCATATCTGCACTCTACAGCTGGCACTTACCCCCGTTGACACGGGGTTACTTGGAGCGACAGCACTGATTGACAGCAGCTAACAGCGCTGTCACATTTATAGCTAACCCAGATCCGTCTCTGACCTACTCGTTCTCTGCAACATCTAGGTAGAAATGAAGTTAAGTAGGCTGAGGCTTATTTTGAACAAAGTTCAAATAGAACGGGGGTCAAGAACCTGGAAAGGCGAGCAGGAAGGATATTGTTGATTTTTTTTAGCCTCAGTTGCTGCTCACAGGTGATCGTGGAACTTGTATAGTTGCACAGGATTTTAGAAATTATCTGGAAGTGTAGTGGGCATCTTCCTGCCCAGAGAAAGAGAGGGGGAGAGAGAGAGAGAGAGAAGAGAGAGAGAGAGAGGAGAGAGAGAGAGAGAGAGAGAGAGAGAGAGAGAGAGAGAGAGAGTGAGTGTGATTATGGAACTTGTATAGTTGCATAGGGTTTTAGAAATTATCTGGAAGTGTAGAGGGCATCTTTCTGCCCAGAGAGAGTGACTGTGTGTGTGTGTGTGTGTGTGTGTGTGTGTGTGTGTGTGTGTGTGTGTGTGTGTGTGTTGGCAGAACAGTGCTGTAGGTGGCCTAGAAATGTAAACTGTCACTTGATCCTTGTCAGGTCTGGAGTATCTCACACTAAAGAGATTTCTTCAGTCTTTATTAGAAAAGCCATCAACTTGATTTCTAAAGACTGTATGGCCAAAAGGCTGACATTTCAAATATTTCCTCATTACCATCTAAAAGGTCTTTGGTGTGAATTAGCAGAGTTGTCTGCGTTTCCAAAGGCTAAAGAATTTTCAAAGCCCAAGTGAATATTAATAAACTTTTTGGTTGTCAGCTTTGTCCATTGATATCCCCCACCCCCCCCACCCCCCCGTACTGGGAATCAAACACAGGACAGCTTATCTTGCATGTTAGGCAGGTGCTTAACAACTGAACTACTTCCAGAATTTTTTTTTTTTAACTCTATGAGAGAGAGATCGGCAAAAGAACTAGCTGTGCTTTTACAGTTGGAATATTTGGAATCCACAGGGTGCCTCAGTTCACTGGCTCTACATTGAAGTCACACAAGCAGGGTGTTTCTAGAAAATATTCATGCCAGGACTCATCTCTAGAGAATCCGATGTAACTGGCCTGGTGTCCAGAGCTTGGGAATTTTCTAAAACTCAGGTGATAGAGAAAGAGCTCAGGGTCGAGAGCTGCTGTTAGGGGGAAAGGTGACTCGAATTTTCAAGGCAAGATATTTACTACAGCACCACAATGAAGCCACCAAGAACAGAGGCCCCAGGGAACCCCAGAGAAACTAGTTTTCTTTTTCCACCGCCGTGTGCGTGAGAAGCCAGCCTGGATTGAGCATTGTCCCCATAGAGCAGATCTTAGCCCTCTGAAAGCCCGTGTCTTGAACACATCTACATTTGATGCTGGCATCTGGTCTCCCCCAGCGGTCTACAAAGGCTCTTGGCCCTGCTAGGCATCTTGCGTGTTCGGACCATCTCTGCGGCATTCCCTTTCAACTGTAGGGATCTGAAGAGGATTGAGCAGCACTTAGAATTCCTTCCATTCCATTCCCTGGGGGCCCTCACAGGGAGGTCAGGCTGGGCTACCTTCTGTGACTCACCAGGGAAGCAGACTAGTATAGGACAAAGCTCACCTCAGCCTTCCTCTGGTTCTCACCACTCTTGTTTTTCACTACACAGTGAATGGCCTCCAAGCCCGGACCTTTGGGATCTGGACGCTGCTCTCATCAGTGATTCGCTGCCTCTGTGCCATTGACATCCACAACAAAACGTATGTCAGGGAAAGACGGTCTTTGGCTCCCTTTTGTTGCCAATCAGGCTCCACGCATGGCACTGCCCTGCTGTTGGGACCTGTGAAATCACTTTACTGCATCAGCATAGAGCATAGAAAATGAAAGCCTTGTTGGACCATTCCTTCCAGTCCTAAAATATCTATAGGCCTAACAGATCATAGCAAATAACATTGCATTGTTCAGTCGTCTGTATCATACTTCAACTAGTTCCCTCCTTCCTTCTATGAAAGACCTAGAGTGCTGTGCTCAGTTTAGCCTTAGAGTTTTGTTTTGGTTTCATTTCATCGTTGCTGGGGGATCAAATGAAGGACCTTGAGCATAGTCAGTAAATGCTCTAGTTCTGAGCTACATCCCCAGCACCATACATACCTTTTGCACATTCCTCATTAGTCAGGAATGACCAGAAATTTATGAAAAGAGAGAAACTATGAGTAAGCTGATAGAGGCCCATGAAGAGGTCAGTCAGTAAAGGAAATGTGTGTGCTGCCTCTCCAAAGAGAGTAAGACAAGCATGAACAGGTGCAGGCCACCCTAGCCGCTTTTCTAGATGATGCCATACCCAGTCCTGGCCACTGGAGGGAGCTCAAGCTTTCTTCCCTGCAGTATTCACTATCTTGTGCAAAAACAGTCATTGCTCAATTCACTGGGAGAAGCTGTCAAAAGGCCAGCCTCGCACTGAAATCTTTTTTCTTGTCCCTCCCCTCAGCATCTGGGGAAGAGAGGAAGCAATAATATTTATGGCTCCTCTCTGATTTTGCCTGGAGCTTTCGCCTACATGACCTTGCCTCAGTCTCTTAGCAACCCCTGGGGGGAGAAGGTAGTGATTTTCATTACTGATTTTGTAATATAAATATTTTAAAAATTCAATTAATTTAAGCAGAGGAAGACTGACTCAAGTGGGATTTGAAGCAAGACTATTAGCCCTTTGATCTTTCCATCTTTAGTTTTAATTTTTTTTTTTTTAACTTGAAACTGGATTACATGTCCTAGATTGGACACATATTTTTAGAAGCAGTATGGTTTAGTGGAAACTGCCTGGGGTCAAGAATGAAAACAAGGAAAACGCACTCTGCTCTCAGTGTTGCTGGTAACTGGGTTTATTACCTACTCTCTCTGTACCTTGGTCTCCATCTATAAAATGGTAATAGATAACTGTTCTGCCTCTCTGGGTGAATGAAAAGGGGGAGGATTGGATAGTCGTTCTGAAGACCTTTTACCACCGTGAAGAATTGCTGCTAGGTGTAGGGGATGCAGCTTCTGTTTGCTGTGTGCTTAGAGTGAACAGAAAATCCATACTCACCCCCACCCCTACTCCCCTTCAGTTTTCCCTCCTGAGACCCAGAGCAGTTGCGAATGCTGAGCTGGTGTTTTCAGGCGTTTCGAGCTGAGGACTTTGATCCATGGACCTCTGACATGCATCCTGAGTTTATTCCCTCCGTAACCAGAAATTCAAAACACACACACACACACACACACCAACATGCACCAGCATAATAAAAACCAATTTTAAGGTACTGGTTACTTTTGAAGAGGGAGGAGAAGGCAGTCAGGGTAGGCTAAGGGTACACAGATGTTTCCAATTCTTTCATGTTTATTTCTTTGTAATATAAAAGTATCCAGCTGGGGATCTAACTCAGAGTCAAAATGTCTGCCTGGCATTCATGAGGCCCTGAGTTTGATCCCCAGAACCGGAAAAAAGGAATGGGAACTGCAAGTGTTGAAATGTTAAGGCTGGTAGGGCTGAGCCCTGGTCACACTGTGCTTCGTTACAGTTTACTATCTACTCGGAGTGTGTCCTCATGTTTACAAAAACAAAAACAGACACCTTAAATTCAAGCGGTAAGCCACTGTCAAAAAAGGCATGGTCAAAGCTGAGGACCATGTTCTCCTCTGGAGTTGTGTGTCCTCCTCAGACCAGATTTTAGGCCAAGACATAAAGTAGCGAACTTGTACTGTAAGAGCATCTGAAGGCCTCTGGCTGCTTAGAGCATTCATTTAGGGTTCCATCCTACAGCACTGTCTGGCACATGGCCAGACACCTGCTAGGGTGGCTTAGGCTGGAGTCTGTCAGTTTGCATGAGTATGCTTGGTCCCAAATTGCTGCGCTGCCCAAGACTGCCTTCCAGATTCTCCCATAGCTGAACTCTCGCTCCCTTGCTAAGTCATGGAGGCCCCCTCTGGCTGCTTGGCCCGTGCCTCAAAAATCGCTAGTTTTGCCCCTGGAGAGAAGCACTTGATGTGATGAAATAGCCAGGTGTTTCTAAGGAATGTGTGTCCTTTCCACCACCGTCATGGCACTCATGGCAAGTCAGCTGACACCCTCTGCAGTTCTGCGCCAAGCATGCAGTCAACGTTGGTTTCCGGTTCCGTCTGTTCCCTTGTAGACTCTATCACATCACACTGTGGACATTCCTCCTCGCCCTGGGGACACTTCCTTTCGGAGTTGTTCGTCTTTGGAACAGCTGCTCCCACAGTTGGAGTGCTGGCACCCCTGATGGTGGCAAGTAAGCACCAGGCCACTCTAGACCCCCTGCAGCGGCGACCTCCTGCGGCGGTGACCCCCGCTGCGGCGCGGGTGGCGGTGGGGCTGGGGCAGACACGGGTGCTGGGTTTGCAGGGTGCAGTGGTGGGGCTGGGCAGACACGGGTGCTGGGCTTGCGGGGTGCAGCGGTGGGGCTGGGGCAGACACGGGTGCTGGGCTTGCGGGGTGCAGCGGTGGGGCTGGGGCAGACACGGGTGCTGGGCTTGCGGGGGGTGCAGTGGTGGAGCTGATGCAGACATGGGTGCTGGGCTTGCGGGGTGCCAGTTTTATGTCCACCACTAATCTTTTCTACACGTTGAAGGTCTCTCAATCCTGGGTATGCTGGTTGGGCTCCGGTATCTAGAGGCAGAACCAGTATCCAGACAGAAGAAGAGAAACTGAGGCCAGCCTTGCCACCTCCAAAACGTCATCGTCTTCCACCTTCGCTGGTCCTCCTTCATCCTGAGTCCTTGGATCATTTCTTTTGGGCTGTGTCCTTAGCTCCTTCATCTAGGTTCAGCATCATTTAAGCTTTTGAGTCTTTGTTTTTGTTTTTTTAATGTTTTTAAATTTTTAAAATATTCATACAGAAAAATTATGTAACATGTATGTATAATTTAGAGTCGTTGAAGAAATATTCTGTTACTCCATCAACGTCAAGAAATCCTCAGAAGTCCCCCACCTCCCCCCACCTCCCCCCCACCCCCCACCCACCCCACGTGTCCTCCTCCCCAGCTGGATCCAAGCCCCAGGCTCCCTTTTCCAGTCCTTCACTCGTTCATTTCCGCTCCACATCTTGATTTGACTTGTGTGGTGGGAACGTGAGAACTGTGAAACTCAAGCTGCTGCCTGCCCAGAGCAACAGCAACCAAGGGCTGCTTCAAGGGATTGTCCACACATGCTGGGCTCCTTTCTGCTGCTGGACCCAGACTCGGAACCATCCAAGGGACAGGCAGTTCTTCCAAGAAGGGCTGCCCTCGGTGTGGGCAGGACCAGGCTTCTCTTCTGTCTTCCGGTGGATAAAGGTTGGAAGAGTCTGGGCTGTTTTTAGACCTTTTGGTCAGTTGTATTTGTGTAATGCATTTTATAATAAATAGAAAAACCATCTATTCTGATCAGCCTTTGACGTTTCCTAAGAGCCTCTGTACCACCCCACCCCCCACCTCCGCCCCCCATGGACTCCAACACTGGAGCATCATCGCTTTCTGCAGCTTTACATCCACTGGAGATAGAACCCAGGGAAACCTGGCTACCTCCAGCTCCTCCTTGTCACTTGCTTACTTGTGTTCTTGATGCCAAATCTCCCTTCCTTCTTCACCTTCAGGATTCTACATCGACAGCTCAACAGTTATGGCCCTTGCCCAGTTTCTTCCCAAAGAAGTAGACTCTTGAGAACAGGTAGAGAAAGTAGAATGAGGCAGCCCAGGAGAAACAGCTGTGAGCACGTAAAGAAGCAAGGGCAATGTCTCCGTGTGAACAGTGCTCCCTGAGCACCGATGATGCTCCCTGAGTACTGGTGCTCCCTGAGCACCGATGATGCACCCTGAGCACCGATGATGCACCCTGAGCACCGATGATGCTCCCTGAGCACTGATGATGCTCCCTGAGTACTGATGATGCTCCCTGAGTACTGGTGCTCCCCTGAGCATTGATGATGCACCCTGAGCACTGATGATGCTCCCTGAGCACTGATAATGCTCCCTGAGCACTGATGCTCCCTGAGCACTGATGATGCACCCTGAGCACCGATGATGCTCCCTGAGCACTGATGCACCCTGAGCACCGATGGTGCTCCCTGAGCACTGATGATGCTCCCTGAGCACTGATGATGCTCCCTGTGTAGCTGGAGAGTTTTCTCTTCGGGTTCTGCCAAGCCATGGCAGTCCCTTAGCCCCACTTATAAAATAAACATACAGACACTTAATATTATTTAAACTGCTTGGCCATTAGCTCAGGCCTACCATTGTCTAGCTCTCACTCTTATATTCAGCCCATTTCTATTAATCTATACTTTGTCACGTGGCTCGTGGCTTACTGGTACCTTACATCTTCCTTGTCCTGGTGGCGGCTCCAAGTAGTCTTTCTCTCTGCCTTCCTGTTCCCTCAATTCTCCTCTCTGTTAGTCCTGCCTGTACTTCCTGTCTGGCTATTGGCCAGTGTTTTATTTATTAACACATTTGCCATACAGAACATCCCACAGCATCCCTGAGCACTGATGATGCTCCCTGAGCACTGGTGTTCCCTGAGCACTGATGCACCCTGAGCACCGATGATGCTCCCTGAGCACTGATGCTCCCTGAGCACCGATGATGCTCCCTGAGCACTGATGCTCCCTGAGCACCGATGATGCTCCCTGAGCACTGATGCTCCCTGAGCACTGATGCTCCCTGAGCACCGATGATGCTCCCTGAGCACTGATGATGTTCCCTGAGCACTGATGCTCCCTGAGCACTGGTGCTCCCTGAGCACCGATGATGCTCCCTGAGCACTGATGATGCTCCCTGAGCACCGATGATGCTCCCTGAGCACCGATGATGCTCCCTGAGCACTGATGCTCCCTGAGCACTGGTGTTCCCTGAGTACTGATGCACCCTGAGCACTAATCCCAGCATTCAGGAGGCAGAGGCAGGCAGATCTCTGTGAGTTAAGAGGTCAGCCTGGGCTACAGAGCGAGATCCAGGACAGCCTCCAAAGCTACACAGAGGAACCCTGTCTTGGGGAAAAAAAAAAAAAAAAAAAGCCAGGCTCAGTCCCTCCTCTGTGTCTAGTAGAGCATGGTTTCTCCAGATAAGAATTGATAAGAGAGAGTGCCAGATTGTCACCGGCACAGAGCGCATCTCAAAGCAAGAAAGATGCAGAAAAAGTGACAGCCGGGAACCCGGAAACAGTGGAGAAGTACAGGGATGGCAGTCCCCGAGAAAGTCGCCAAGCTGCCAATGCTTGAACTAGGCTGTGGACACCGGCCAGAGCTAGCTGGTGTGGGTCTGGGGTGATCAAACAAAACACTTCAGCTGCCCTTTGAGGCAGAGCCAAAGACAACACTGGACCTTTCTCTTGGGGAGGAGCACATTCCAGCATATGCACAGGCCGGGGAAAGTCAGGGTCACAGGTTGGCCACTGAGTTCTATCTTCTGTGTAGGCGGTCAGGAACCTTTAAAGGCTGTTAAAAAAAAATCCGACAGGATGTTACACCCTTGTCAACAAAGGACACAGATGTTCTGGCCCCAAGCCCTACCCCTCACCCCCAGCCGTCACCCAGACAGTCTCAGAAAAGTATGATAACCTTGTGGGGACAGCCCAAATGACAAGGCAGACCACTTTGAAAATCTTTATTGCCTTAAAATATCTGGTATTCTAAACAGGAAATACAAACTCTGGTTTTTTTTTTTAAATAAATGGATTGCGTAAACATGTCCATTTTGAACAGTTGAAGAAAGAACACCTTTCTCTTGACAGAAAGTAAGGCACCTCTCCCTTCCATCCCTAACACTGCCTCAACCACAGCTTTCCTCCCGTCCACTGCTCAGGTCTACACACCACATACAAACCCGTGTGTATGTACACACAGGTGGGGTCTCCTCTGGCCTGGCACCCCAACTCTGCAGGCAAACCGGCTATTCTGGGATGCTAAGGCCATGGCCAAGGCCAGACGACTGAATGGTCTTGACCAGAGTTGCTCAAGGCACAGGAGAAATGAGTTGCCAGTTTCTCTTGGAGGAGACCTTACAAAAGCCATGAGTATAACCAGCAGACTGGGTGAGGAAGGAGGTCAACTGGGATTGGTTTAGGAGTCCTTTTCAACTTAAAATATCTGGCAGATTTTGCTAGCAGAGACAGGGAGTGGGTTTGGTTGTGCAAATACTGTCCCCAGCATCCACGGGATTATGTTTACCTGAAACAGACATAATGTCTATTTTAAGAGTCACCTTCTGCCCCTTTCCTCAGAGATAGCCTTGGGTGTCAGAGTACAGTAAATGAGACTAACTTTCAACAGAGGTTAGAGCCATGAGCTGCTGGCCTGATGGCAGCATTTCCCAGTGCAATACCCAATGAAGACATTCTGAGTGGCCTGGGACACTGGAGTCCCTGGGCAAGCACCTCTTATAGGAAAGCACCTTCCCATCCCAACTCAAGCTACCAACTCAGAGCTACACACACACACACTCAAGGTAGCTCCCAGTACTGTTGCACTTAGGCAGGGATGGGCTGATATTTTGTTTGTGCTCTAACAAATCAAGTTTGCCTGAAGATCAGAGGGCAGAGCCAGCCACTAGTTAACCACAGCAGAGGTCAGGCAGTGGTGGCACACACCTTGAATCCCAGCACTTGAGAAGAGGAAGCAGGGAGCTCAGGAGCTCCAGGCCACCCTGGACTACATGAGATTGAATCTATCCAAAAGAGAAAGACAGCCAGGCGGTGGTGGTGGTTCACACCTTTAATCCCAGCACTAGGGAGGTGGAGACAGGAATATAAGGTGGGTGGAGACAGGATCTCAGACCATTCAGTCTAAGGATTAGCACAGACAGGATCTCACCCTTTCAGACCTGAGGATTCAGTGGAAGTAAGAAGTCTCTAGTGGCTGGCTCCTTTACTGATCTTTCAGCATCTACCCTGATATCTGGCTCCGGGTTTTTATTAATAAGACCAATTAGAATTCGTGCTACACAGGGAGCCCTCTCCAATCAGTTTCTCCTTCCGGCTACAAGAGAGGTTTTGTCTGGTTTATTGGTGTTTTGTCTGGGCTCTCAGAAAAGAAGGTAGGAAGAGAGACTGCAGTGTTTGGCCAAGGCCAAGAGTCCTGATAGAGCTGCCTCTGTGGAGTGATGGGCTCTGATGGAGGCTGGACCCTGGTGCTTCCTCATCGTGACCCTCAGGCAGAGCACCTTGCCTGTTCTCAGTGAGAACTGGGCTTCATGTGGATAAGTCTTAAGACATTAGAAAAAGTTAATATCCTGAATAAGCTTTCTTAGGATAATTCTGCAAGCATTCTCCACGAGAGAAAGGATAAGAAGGCAAGGGACCAAGTAAGGATGAACTCTGACACCCTTCACCAGCCTCTCCCAACACTAGCCCCAAGACATAAGAGGGAGAGGAGACCAGAATCCAGTCTACATCTGGAGAGAGGTGAGGCTCCCCCCCAGTAAACATCCAGGTTCTCAGGTAGGGCCCAGTGGGCATAGGCACGCCTTGCAAGCCACAAATCTTCCGGCTGCTTCATCTAGAAGCTTCTCCATGAAGATCTAGGTGCTAACAGTGTCTCTGTTCCTGAGTCTCTGCCACCTCTCTCTCTGTCTCTGTCTCTCTCAGAGACGAGCCTCAGACACGACCGTGGGGACCTTGCTGATATTGCTCTCTTCCTCCTCCTGGACTTTCTAGAAGACAAAGAAAACAGGAAGCCCTGTGATTAAAACACACAGATCTCCTCCACCCTGGCTGAAACAGATCCCTGTCCATGACAGATCACTGTGAGTACAAGGGCAAGAAGCCACCCACTGTCCCCACCCCCAGAGCAAATAAGAGGCACAAGGAAAGAAGCAAGCAGCCCAGCCTGAGTGTACCCCCCCATACACTGACCCCCACCATTACCACTCATCAGAGAGAACAGAGCCAGTGTCCTGTTCTGACAGCCCCAAACTCACCTCCCCATGCCATCAACTAGCTGCTCCAGGTTCCAGATCGGCAGCTCCCTCAGACTCTCCAGCTAGCCCCACTGGGAGGCAGCCCCCAGGATGAGGGTTATTATAATGTCGATTGAATGGATGCCATCAAGCAATTTTAAGACACCCTGCTTAATTGTACAGCTGAACTCAATGGCTGTGCAGTTATATGTATTCAGAGAGAAAAACACTGTAGAAGCTCTTCAGAGGGAACTAGTTTGAATTTGGCTTTTCTGGGAAAGGATATGGCATGGAATTCATTTATAGGAAGTCTCCTGGCTCACACTTGTTAAGTGGGTTTGGGATTAAGCATGGCCTAGAAATTCTCCGTGGGGTCTCTGGTACACATTGCCAACTTGGGCATTTGGCTGTCTTCTAATTGGCAAAAGGACCTTGAACACAGACGGACTGCAGAGCCAGCCCTGCTCAAGGCCCAGTGGAGTGTATGCAGGGCCAAGCTAGAGGCCAATGCCAGCTGAACAAATAGAGCTTTTGTCCCCAGGAATGCCTGGGTCCCATCCATGGCAAGGGCCACAGCCGTAGTAACCCAGCCCTCTTATTCTGGGTCTTGCAGGCCTTTGGGCACCAGGCCTGCCTCAGCCATTAGTAACCTTCATTCAGACAACTCACAGTTGACCTGGTCACTCTCTGCATTTGACACACACAATGTCCACATGCCTGTCTCCTCCGAAGCTACCACCTCAAAACTGCCATTAAAAAATAGGTTAGGAGTAGGGAGGCACATCTACAGTCCGGGTGCTGGCAGAAAAATGGGTACCCAAGGTTTCACAGTCAAGGTGGAGTTATTCTCTCTGTCCTTAAGTTCTCTCTTTACCTGAACAGTGCATCTCACCGACGTATAGAAAGGGCAGATGCAGTCAGACCCGATGCATCGATGCATGCCCTGTCCTCCCCGACAATGTGTTTGTCTCCAAGTCTCTCAGTTACACTGACTGCCTTGGGGTGTGTAATGATCAGGGCTCCAGACAAAGGGTGCACTGGCCACTGTAGCTTCCTTCTTGTCAGCCCCAGCATACCTCTGACCTCCCCTTAATCCTAAGTAGCTGTAGATGCCAGTGAGGACCAGAATACAAGGATACGAAATGGGGATACTACATAAGTGAGCCCCATTCCAGGAACTTAAGGCACCTAGGCCCATTCAGTGCTGCTTTCCAATATTCTATCCTCAAGGAGACCGGGCCAACAACTCCACTTGACTGACAAACTGAGTCAATGCACAAGGATTTGCCTCCACCAAGAGTGAAGTTTTATAACAACTGAAAATGTAAACAAGATGGAAATATGCATGTCTGCAGATGGGAGGCATAGAGTATAACTGATGATGAAGTTTATCTTTTAAAAAAAGTGTGCGTGTGTGCATATGTGTGTGTGTGCGTGTGTGTATGAGAGTATGTTCAAGTTAGTGCAGGGGCCTGAAGAGGTCATCAGATCCCCTGAAGCTAGAGTTACAGAACCTAGTAGCCTGCCTGATATGGATGCTGGGAATTAAACTCGGGCCCTTTGTGTGAACAATACATACTCTTAACTGAAGAGTGATCTCTTTAGCCCCTACCTATATTACGCAAACATACAGAGTAGAAAATGAGATACATATGTGTCCATAGGTTATAGCACTGGTAAATGAACTGGGGATACAATATGATCAGCTATTTATAGTATTGATATTTAATACATATTAATATGTAATATGTAAATATCTTTTATTCATATCTCATTTGCCTTTATCTTCCAACTTAAACACAGCAAAAACTCATGTCACATGACACAAAAATCACAGTCCCAATTAAAAATTTTTTACCAAAAATCTTTTTTACTGCAGACACCTTATCATATCCTTATTGGCCAAAGTATCCTAAATCATTGTGTCTCCTTAAATACAGCACAGTGAAAGCCCATGTCCACAGTGGCCTTTGCTCTTCACACAGGTCTAGATAACATCATTCCTACCCCCAGGCTTTCTCCCGGTAAACACTCTATTATAGGCTCCTCCCCTTTCGATCTGCTCCCTGCCAACTCCAGAATGTGGTATCAGAAGCCAAACAGTAAAGAACTAAAGATTCTCACTTGTTAGACAGCACAGAGCCTTGAATGCCCACGGCACTGCATGACAGCTGATCCATGTTTCCAGGAAATACTGTACACTTAACACAGCAACCCAGCTTCCATATTAATCCGTATAGTATTTATTATAATGTAGGCAGCACAGAGGTCCTTGTGCTCACAGATAAGGACTAAGAAAACCGGAAATGTTAAACACACAGAGCTGTCCCTCCAAATTACCCAATCCACCCAGAAGGCTGAGAGTGGGTGTGGTTAATAGCCTGGTGACCTTTGTGATCACACTGGATCCTCCCCAAACCCTTATCATAAGCTCATTTTTCTCAGTCAATTTATAGAACCCATCTTTATGGGAAGTGTCACATGTACTTTATGAAGAGTTTTGTGTGATCACCTCTGATCTTTATTTAGCTCACTGTGCTCCTGGAGGAGATTTATGTGTGCTTTGTTATACACACAGGATTGAGTTATTTACTGCCAGGGAAGTTTTCACCAAATTGTGCTGTGCTTAAATAAACCTAAAATAAACTCCTCAGGGTCACACTCCCCAATGCTGGTCAGTCATGTTGAACCAAACTGCCTACCTTCCTCCCTAAGGTCATTTACTCTGCCAGCTGTGGTGGTCTGGTGGTTGCAGAGAGCCCTGAGTAATAATAATATTAACACCACACTCAAACTGAGCGAGTTAGCCAGCCACTAATTATAATACTGCTTATAACAATCAAAAATACTTCTAAGGTCCGAACAGAAAACTGTTAAACAAATCAAAGCTTACTCATGCAAAAGAACAGTGTAAAGTCGTTAAAAGTGATTGTAGGAGACCAGTAGCCTTGGAGTGT